TGACAGGTTTTAGACTAATAAAAACATTTTTACTTTGAAGCATTTAAAACGTTTATTTTAAAAGTTGTTCTTAGCTAAGAAAATACAGTTTTCTACTGGATGGTAAATCCATAAAGTACCAAGCGTGAAAAGTGAGGCTAAGAGTTTCAAATATATTGTATCTTGACCTAAATTGTTACAATTCAAAATATTTTTTAAAACATATTTTTAATTAAAGAGGAACAATTTGAAAGATACACTAACTCCTCAGAAAACCGTCGGGTATGATTTTGTCACATTTTATAATCTAGTATAACACTTGAACTTCTTAACCGAGACGATCTGAGTAGAATTTTATACTTCTCATGACTATTTTGCTTTCCTGGCATCTGTTTAATGTCTAGGGCACACACTGAAGTGGGTGGCATCACTCTATTGATCAACAACAAACAGCCTCGCACTGTTCTGGAAAGCCGTGCACTAGTGTCTGCAGGAAGAGGTGGTCTGCATTTCCAAATGCACGCTTTATAGAAAAGCAAGCACTTTGTTTGAACTACATCATCTGTCAGATTGCCTAAGGCACAGAAGTCAGAAATCCCTGGTGCTGGCTGCATTTTGCTAGGCTAGCCATTAATCTATTTTCTTGATTTTTGCTATGAGAAGACAAAAAATCTGAAATCCACAATATCTGTTCCAATATTCTTTTATATTTCTAAATAAAAACATTTGAGTAAGGCCCTGGAGCAGAATAATAAATTTTTTATATCATCATTTTCTGCAACTAGACATTATATATATCTTATATAGCAACATATCACTTTCATGCTCACATGACATAAGTTTCATGAATTCTTAAGCAACACAATCTTCATTGCTTTTAGATTCTACTTAATTTTGGTAAGATCTTTTGTTTAAAATTAATTACACTTGAAAATAATATCTCTTTTTCAAATATAACTTCTATTTACTATGTTAGCATCGTTTGGCTTAAATATTACTTGAGTCAATTATCAAATCATTTAAAAATTAACTTTATTTGAGAACATGCTTTAATGTATTTTGAATATAATATGTGAATCATTGTTCCAAAAAAAGCATTCTCATCTTTCTCCCCAGGATATTAATCCTCAGACACTGTAAGATATTGGTGTCTAATTTTTTTTCCTGAAAGAGAAAATGGGTATTTTCAAATAGATGGATAGATATGAAATATTTATATAATATATGTAAGTAGTATATGTATAAATACACATATATATGTATTTGTATATATTCATTATGTGAAGCAAAGTTTTTAAGTTAGTTTATTTAACTTAAAATCACTTGTCTTACCCATTTTAATATTGCATGTTAATCTTAAATGAGAAAATTACAAGTAGAGAGAAAAACAAATATGATAAGAGGATATATTAAGATTAATTTTCAAGCAATGTGACAGAACTGTAAATTCATTGTGACAGAGAATAAAAGGTCTCCTCTAAGTAGCCTACACAGAAACCCTGAACATTGAACTTGTTATTTTAGGAGACAAGAAATCTAGGTAACTACGGACTTTAGAGGGAAATGTGACAACACCAAGCTCTTAAAAATGTAGTCACATACTTTTATTTTACAGATATTACTTTACATGACATGGGTACAATTTTTGGTCATGAATTCATAATTTTAACTATTTCTGTACTATTATATCCTAATCAACATCAGAGGTATTGTCTTTGAAAATGGAGGACCAAAGTTTTAAAAATATATGAAATATATCTGTACGTTTCGTCCCAATTATAACACTAGTTAGTGATGGATAGTGCTTCTAGGATGGCATTGTGAGTCATGAATGGAATTGACTCGTTTCCGCTCATCAGAATCCTTCATGTGTAGTTTAAACATGCTTGATAAAGTGAAAAGCATTGAACATTGATCAAGCAAGTCAAAAGTGGTACCCTTGTCAAAGACAAGGGAAATATCCAATTCCTGTCAACTCTAGCCCTCTTCTCTCACCTCAGATGGGGAGGACCGAGAAACACTTAAGTTCCTAGTCCAGAGGCAAGGCTCACTAAAGACTGAGACCTAATCACAGGACTATAGAATGCTTCCCCTCCCCCACACCTCCCCACCACTTACTAAAGGCCTATTTACAACGATTCCTTTTACCCATTCCATCATATCTGGCTATCAAGAAAAGATTACAAGGCACACCACATGGCAAAAAAACACAATTAGAAGGGGCAAAAGAAACATCAGAACCTAATGTGGCACGGATGTTGGAATTATCAGACTGAGAACTTAAGACAGTTAAGATTAATATGCTAAGGGCTCTAATGGATAAAGTAGACAGTATACAAGAACAGATATGCAATGTAAGAAGAGAGATGAAAATCCTAAGAAAGAATCGAAAAGAAAAATAGGTCAAAAACATTAACAGAAATGAAGAATGCCTTTGATGAACTTGCAAGTACACTGGGCACGGCTGAGGAAAGAATCTATGGGTTTGAGGATATCGTGATAGAAACCTCCCAAACTGGAAAGCAAAAAGAAAGACCGGAAAAAAAAATTAATATCCAAGGCCTATGGGATAGCTACAAGAGTTGTAATATATGCATAATAGGAATACCGACAGGAAAATAGAAAGTAGCAGAAGAAATACTTGAAACGATAATGACTGACAGTTTCCCCTAAATAATGTCACATACAAAACTACAGATCCAGGAAGCTCAGTGAACCCCAAGCAGGATAAATGCAAAAAAAAAGAAAACTAAACCTAGGCATACCATTTTCAAACTATAGAAAATCAAAAGTAAAGAAAAAAATTCTGAAAGAAGTCGAGGGATAAAACACCTTACCTATAGAGAACAAAGATAAGAACCACATCTGTGTTCACCTCAGAAACCATCCAAGCAAGAAGAGAGTTGAGTGGAATATTTAATGTGTTGAGAGCAAAAAATCCACCAACCTAAAACCACCCACCCTGAAAAATTATCCTTCAAAGGTGAAGCAGAAATTAAGACTTTGTCAGATAAACAAAGCTGAGAGAATTTTTTGTAGTAGGCCTGACTTGCGAGAAATGTTAAAAGAAGTTCTTTGGAGAGAAGGGAAATAATATATGTCAGACACTTGGATCTGTATAAAGAAAAGAAGAGCATAATCTAAATGTATATTTGTAAGTGGGTATTTCAAACTCCAGGGCAATGACTAAAAAAGTAATAAAGAATTATAATTGATATGCTAAGAAAGGAGGAAAGAATGGAGTCATGTAAAATGCACAATTAAAAGCACAAACGGCAGAAAAAGAGTGGAAGACGAAATAGGAATAAAGAACAAAGGCAACAAACAGAAAACTAACAAATATAGTAGATATTAATACAACCATATCAATAATCACTTTGAACATAGTCTAAATGCACCAATTAAAAGACAGAGATTGTCAGAGTGGGTGAAAAAACAACATCCAATGATATGTTATCAAAAAGAAACCCACCTTCAATATAAAGACACATATAGATTAAATGGATGGAGAAAAATACATCATGCTAACACTAATCAAAAGAAAGCAAGAGTAGCATATTAATTTCAGACAAAGAAGACTTCAAAGCAAGGAAGATTATCAGCGATAAAGAAAGGCATTACATGTTGATGAACTGGTCAATCCTACAAGAAGACGTAATCTTTAATGTGTATGCACCTAACAACAGAGTGTTAAACAATGTGAGGCAAACACTAATGAGACTGCAAGGAGGAATGGATGCATCCACTATCATAGTTGGAGTGTTCATCATCTTTTGCTCAAAAATGGGCAGATTCAGCAAGGAGAAAATCAGTAAGGACAGAGTTCAACTCAACGGCACCATCAATCAACTGGATATAATGGGCATCTCCAGACTATGTCATCAAACAACAGCAGAACACGTTCTTCTCAGCTCACATGGAGCATGCAAGATACACCATAATCTGGGCCATAAAACACACCTTAACAAATCTGAAAGAATACAAATCACACAATACCTGCCCTTACACCACAGTGGAATTAAGCTAGAAAGAGTGGAAAGACAGCTGGAAAATCCCACAATATGTGGAGATTAAACAATATACTTCTAAATAACACATTCATTAAAGAAGAATTTGATGACAAAGAAGAAACTTCAAGAGAAATTTTTAAATATTTGAACTAAATGAAAATGAAAATGAACCTGTCCAATCTTTTGTATTAGAAGAAATAATGGCATTCAGCATGCTGAGAAGTGAATTTTAAAAATTAACTCATCCAACATTATTATTGCAATGGTGTGTTTGCAGAGTAGTTGAGGAAATAGACATTTGGCCATTTCTGTGGATTGTGGAGAAAAATAAAAGATACACAAGGGGTAGCAGAAGAACTTGTACTCATCATGACTTGGCAGCTAAAGTACATAAGTTTATTAAGTATTTATTAATTGCCCAATGAATAAAGAGTTGTTAACCTGGGCCCGTAAATCACGGATGGACCTTGGTGAGTGAGTAGGGGATGTGAGTCTGGAAACACTGTGTCCATTTTTCTAAGAAGCAGGTTCTTTGCTTATATTGAATGATTCCAAACATTTAGTCATTTGCCAGTCGACAGGTGTCAGTGGCATCAGGACAATAGTCCTTTCAGGAACTTGCATGATGGGTGAGTCAGGAGAGAGGTGAGATATTAAATCCAATCAATATTTAACAAAAATTTATTGAAAGTCTCCTCTGTGCCACACCTGCTATTGTGTGCAGAAGATAAAATTTTAATAAAAACATAGATTCCTTGCTTTCATTGAGCTGTTCTTCTCCATAGTTTTTAGACTATTTCAAATTTCAGCAAACAATGACCAAAATTGAGGGCATAACGGAAGATGTTTTGTCTGTATTGTTCTCTGTATTGTTTTTGGCAACACTTAGTTAGAAATGAGTACCAATATCCTTTGGCAAGGTGCTAAAGGCAGTAATAACTGATCGTTCTGTTTAATCCTCTGGTATATAGTGTCTACTGTACACTCAGTTAGACGTATTTTTCTTTCAAGGTAACTGAACTGCACAACATCAAAAATATAACGAGACTGCCTCGAGAGACAAAGAAGCACGCGGTGGCAATTATCTTTCACGATGAAACGTCAAAGACCTTTGCCTGTGAGTCAGGTAAGCACTGCTAGCCCCGTCTACATGTAGTGTGAGGCATTTGAGGTGCTTCTGAGACTATAGCCCAGATGGATTAAGATACACCGCCGAATAGGACGGCTGATTGTGATGAGAATGTGCCGTAGAAGACTTTAATAAGCCGCTCAACAAATTGATTTCAGCAGATGTTTTCAGTGCTTGTTCATTATCCTTCTGTGTCTGGATTTTGCTCCCAGGTGGTTGGAGGACTCTTGAGGTTTCCATTCAAGCTTGGAGAATTAAGTCAACAAAGCCTGCAAGATGTTGTTAGGGCAAGCTTGTGATGTGACTTTCTGGTTCTTACTGAGTGCAGCTGTAGGCATGTGGTGGGCCAATATGATACTGCCATGGCAAAGCGGGGCAAGGCACAGCCTACGTCCCCAGACATCTCCAAACAGAACTTTGAGCAATTGGCGGCTTTCATGGATTTTCAGTACTACCAGTAACTACATTTCAGATTCGATTTTAGAATCCCAGTTCATAAAGCGCTCTGACATTATTGAGACATAAGGCAGTTTATAGTTTGAACTTGCATGATTTTTCACTTTGGAATCCCTGTGCAATGTAATATATTAGTTGGCTTATGATAGCTTTTTAAAGATTTTGCTCAATGAAGTGGTACATTCATTTGATAATGGATGGAAGCAATAAGCCCTGAGGGTTCACAAGATGTAACTTTAAAATGATAGTGAAGGCTTTAGGAGAAGCTTTATTGAGTATTTTTTAAAAGGAAATACAGCTTCTGGATTTATAAAGTTTATGGATATAATTAATATCAGGTTATATTATTCTAAAACTGATAATGTAACTTTGCCTAAAGAGAATTGCTCACACCTCCTTACCTACACTTATCTTAGTTTTGCTATGTTGAATTAGAATTTATCAAAGTGTTCCTCTTTCCTTGAATGCCTTTATCCCTTTTGCTATACTTTCTTTACTTGTCATCTGACCTCATTTCATTGTTTAAAATTGACTTTTTGGAGTTACATAGAAATCTGTTAACTGGTAATATAAATCCCTATTTTGTAATAGAATCTGTCCCACACTTGCTGGTATCATATATTAATATCCAAAAACGTTTGTGCCTTCTTGTTCACTGTCTAACCACTTCACTTTTCTCTGAGCTCTTAAATAATGTCTCATATTAAAACTAATAGCCTGAAAATTAGTTTTCCAAAATAGATGAAAGATAGTTTTCACTATTGTTTGTATGTTTCAAGTTTCAGTTTTCACTACCCTTTTATATTTTTGAGATTGTACTGAGCCATATTGTGGATACATGGACAATACTGGAGTCTGTTATTTCAGATAAGAATGACGTCGAATTATGTTTCTACACAATTCTTCTACAGAATTACGAAATTCAGACTCACAGTTGTAACCCACAAGTCTGAAATTGGAAGGTTTTGTTTGTGTGTTTGGTGGTGGGGATTTCTTGGTTCATGTAAGATTTCTGAGAAATGAAGGGCTGTTCATGAAAAGAAAATGGCCTTTATTTCTAGCAGAAGAATTTCCTGACAGTGAGGGTGAAGCCAGATTCAAACGTAAAAATGGAGGAATGCTTTTATTGGAATTTCTAGCAAAAACTTTTCAACTACTTTAAATTATGACTTGTTTGAAACTAGTATTTGTTTTTTTTTAAATCACTTTTTATGTCTGGATATAACAGTCTGCTTGAAGCTAGGACTAAAAGTGGTTAGCAAACAACTGCAGGATTTTTAAAAATTGTCTTAACCTCATGGCACATGCCAGTGGAAAAAAAGAAAGTACTTGAAAGATACAAACAAGGAGCTTGAGTACTTTTTCTTGCAAATTATATTTTTTAGATGGATATTAAGATGCAGTAGTCTATATCTGTTGATAAAATGACAAAATTATATGGAAAAAAGACAAACTGTAAAGCAGTCAGGGATGTGAAAATCAAAATAGCAATAAGATTAAATCCAAGATTATAAAAAAAACCTCTTCTATTTCTAAGGAAAATGCAGGTAAAGTATATTCACATAATGGCTAGTGGGAATGTGAATTGTTTCAATTATTTTTTTCAAGAAAACTGACAACTGCTATTATATAATTATACATATCCTTGACTCAGTGAACCTCTTTGTAAACAATTCCCATATAAACATACGCACCAGTACTTGAGGATGTAGGTTTAAGCACGTTATATGTAATGGCAACAAAATTGGAAACAAACGAATGGCTATCAAGAGAATAGTTGAACAAATTATGGCATATCCTTATTGTGAAATACTGTGCAATCACTAGAAAGAGTCGTAATTAAACCAATTAACCTGGAGACATTTCTGTAAAGTTTAGTTGTTCAAGCAAGACAGACACAGAGGGGTATATACTGAATAATCACATTTTATAAAAGAATCTATGAGAGAAAGAGAAGGTGTTTTAACATGTGTTACCTGGGTTGTGGGGAGATGATGATGAGTTGGATGGGAAATGAAGACAGAGAAAAAAGGCAAGCAAAAAAGGAAAAGTAAGAAAATAAAATGAACAGAAGACAATGCCCAGCATTTAAACTATCCCATTGATGTGAAATTATTCATATGTGAATGTGCACATGAACATATCCAATTTTTTTTAAAGCAAGTTGGTCATCAGAAAAATGCAAATTAAAACCACAATAAGATATCATTATGTACCTATCAGAATGGCTAAAATTAAAGAAATAGTGACACCACTAAATGCTTGTGAGGTTGCGGAGAAACTGGATCATGCGTACATTGCTGATGGGAGTGGAAAATGCTACAGCCGGTCTGGAAAGTGATTGGCAGTTTCAAATAAAATCAAACGTAATTATCACACGGTCCAGCCATGCACTATTGGACATTTATCTTGGAAAAAGATGAAAACTTACATTCGCACACACACACACGCGCACACACACACACACCTGTACAGAAATTTTCATTGTAGCTTTGTTCATAACAGTCAAAAACTGAGCAGAACCCAGATATCCTTCACCAAACCACGGTACACTCACACCGTGAAACATTCCTCAGCAATACAAAGGAGCGATGTGTTGTTATATGCAGCAACTTGGATGAATCTCTAGTGAATTATGCCAAGTGAAAAAACACCAGTCCCAAAAGATTATGTACTTTGATTCGATTTATATGACATCTGTGTAATGACAAATTTTAGAAATGGAGAACAGATTGGTTGCCAGAGGTTATTAGGTACAGGGTTGGGGCTGTGGGGAGGGGAGGATGTATGGTCATAAAAGGGTAACATGAACTTTTATTGGAATTGAGCAGTTTTATTGATTGTAGTGGTGCACACACAAACCTACACAGGTGATAAATTGTGTAGATCTTACACACACACAAATGAGTACAAGTAAAACTGATGAAATCTGATTCAGATCAGTGAACTCTCAGTGTCAATATCCTGGTTATGATATTATACTATAATTTTGCAAAATGTTACCATTGGGGTAAAGTGGGCAAAATGCACACAGGATCTCTCTGTAGTATTTTTTATTACTACATGTGAATTTATAATTATCTCAATAAAATTTACAGTAAAAAATAGGATCTTTATCATCTGAAAGTTATCTATGACGTATTTTGTAGTTAAAAAGCATGTAACTTAACAAAAAAAAGTGTTTGGCACATTCTAATATGGTAAAAAGAAACTGACAACAGTAACGACAAACAATAGAAGTAATCCTAAATGTGTGCCTATGTAGCTCGTGTATGTTCTATGAACAGAAAGAAATGTGTGCACAAGTACGTACATGTGTGTCTTGCTCCTTCCTAACATGGAGCCCTTCCATGGGCTCCTCCCCAACCTACTGTGTCCCCATCACACACTCTTCACCCAACCGTCTACATTTCCTTCCATTTCAGCATAGGTATTCATGCTTCCTGCCCCCTCCTCTTACTTACTGCCCCTGCTCTACACTCCCACAGCACCCTGAACTTGAAGTTTACATGCCCTGTTCAAAATTTCTCTAGTCTCTCAGATTTTAAGCTCAATGAAGCCACGACCATATTGTCTTTCTCACCCTGGAATTCCCAGCACCACAGTGCTAATAAAAATTTGTTAAATTAATGAATTAATGAACGAATAAAATTTGTATTTTTTTGTTATGATGATATATTTATCATTCTCCTTTTTCAAAGAGATGGTTGTTTTTCAAAACAAGTTTTAAAGACTAATTTGGCATCTTCATGGGAAAAAATTATTTAAATTGCCAAATAACAGATTGCTCTGTGTTTGTGATGGAGGACCAGTGTGCTGTGTGCACACACATGTGTGTGGGTGTGTAAATTGCCACGGCCCACCAGGTCTGCTTAATAATTTTATGAGTTAAAATTGTTGAATACAAATGAAAATTTCTGCATTTTGACTGTTCTTTGAAAAGAGAGCCTTTATTTTTTTTTTAATGTTCAATCTCATATCAATGCCTAGTAAATGAAGGAGCAGATAGATGGCTTAGATGTTGGAAACCCAGAGTTTGGGTACGAGATTCTGGTTATCTTCATTAGGGAAAGGAAAACAGGAAAAGAGCTGTCTTTGTCAGCATATGAAGCCTGAAAACTTATCTCCAAGTAATTTAGGGCAAGTAGTATTTAAAGTGTGAACAACCTGGTGAATTTCCTAAATAATTATTTGAAGCACTGAATTTATTCTGTAATGTAATGAAGTTCTTTTTATAGTTTCTTCCATCCAAATTCTATAATAGAATATTCATGAATTGAATAAATTTCCCACATTAAAAATGAAAAATATTTAGGTAAAACCTAAATCCCAATATAGCCACAGATTTATCATTAAATTTTTAAAAATTTTCACGTAAGAACTATTTTGTACCTGAAATACCTGGATATCAGTTAATCACGTTTCAGTTTATTCACGTTGTATTTCCCAAATTTTGTATCTTTGTTTCTGAGAGAACTTTGTTTTGTAAAATAACTTCTTTCCCCCATGATTGTTTGTATTAGTCATTAAGATGTATTTGT